GATCAACTTTGTTCTTTTCTCACTAGAAACATTTGCAAGAGACCAGCAGAGCGGAAAACATTGATTTAAAACAAACATCTCGTATATAACACCCAGCGTATTCTTCTCGTCCCAGTCGAACTTCATCCTGTGTTCTTCCCAAAGCTTCCACAGGCATTTTCTAGTTTCTGTTCTTCTTTATCCTTGTTGGTGGTGCCATGCAGATGGGTCGATCTCCTTGCTGCGAGAAAATCGGTCTCAACAGGGGTCCATGGACTCGTGAAGAAGACGCGCTCCTCATGCAGTATGTCAACGAGCACGGCGAAGGGTCTTGGAGAACGCTTCCAAAGGCCGCAGGTTTGATCCGCCCAAATCTCATTCCACTCCTTGTCTCTACATTCTCTAAGATTTTTTGTCGTGGTTGCTAGATTCCCTCTAGACAAGCCATGTTTGCGTCGTAGCTAGTTACAACGTCCCTATTCCCTTATATATTCCGCTCAAGCTTGATGTTTGCAGTGTCTTTGTCGTAACTTGCAGCATTGACAAACAAAGAACTCGTTTTTTATTGATTCGCTCGTGATGAGTCGCTTAAAGTGGTCAGAAGGCTCGTGCCATCATAGAACGAAAGTAGTAGCTTACTTGCTTATGCCAGCAACATGAGAAAGACATTCAAGCGGCTTTGAAGTCGTCAATACCACGGTCACCAGAATGCCCAGAATGCCCAGAACTCCTTGAACACTAAACATGGATTCGTGGAACAGCAGAAAGTTTCAAGGGGCACAGTCTGCCGGTGCCCCCAAGAGTACCGTTCACTTTGCGGACGAGGTAACCATTCAAGTTCCTTCTTCCGGCTCTGCTCTCGCTTCTCCACCTTCAAGCACTTGAACCCTCAATACCAGTGCGTTGTCGTCCCACATCCGGACGTCGAGCAGCAGCCTTCCACTCCCAAGCCTTCAGCTCCAGAGCTGCAGCAGCTTTCCACTTTTTTAAAGTCTTCAGCTCCAGTGGAAAGGAATAATTCCCGATCACCAGAGCAGCTAAATCTGATAGCTTTCAGGCTCGCAGTTCTTGAAAAGTTCGCCACTGGCCTCGGGAAACTGGCCTTCGTCTGGGCAACTGTTGTTCTCCTCGGTGGATTCGTGAGCAACATTCCGGCCAAAGACTTTTGGACGATCTCGGCCTTGCTGCTGACTGAAGGAACGCGGGTTTTCAGTCGAAGTAGCGAGTTGGAATGGCAGCAGGCAAATTACAGCTTGGGAATTCTCGGCTTCAGATCGTTCCTGTTCGACAAGAGCGCCAGATTATGGGAGAAGTTCTCTGGAGTCTTGGACCATGACCACTCTGAACAGAACGTGAGTAGAGATCGACTTTCCAAAAAACCAGTAAAGAAAGATTTACACCAGGGATTCGCTGCCAGAAGAATTTGGTGCGTGGGAAGCGCGTATGTAAAGTTCCTCCCCACCAGGATCATCAGCCTTTTCATGTACTTCCTCCAGCTTGCTTCTGCAACAGTCACCGCATGTTTCTCAGTATATCGACTTGCCGAGCACGGCTTCAATGCCCAAGGAAACAACACTGAGCAAGCACTTACTGTGTTTTACGCGATGATGCTGGCAGAAACGTCGCTATTCCTCCTGGAGAGAACATATTGGGAATTCAAGCTTCGTTACCAGAGGTTGCTGGAAGTAGTCACTCGAACATGTGAGCTTGATCAAGACGACATTGAAACCATGAAGCAGTACTGGTACACATTGTACTCACGATCGCTGAACGGAAGCGTGTTTGATGGCCTGGGAATGGACCTTATCGATTTCACCGTCGAGAAGCTGCAGTCAAGCATAAGGGAAGAGCAGCTCGGTAGCGTCAACATACTGTCAGCTCTTGTCTCAAAAGGAGATTCAATGGAAGAAACGCAACGGAGGATTGGTACCACGCCCGGAGTTGTGGAGAGACTCTTAGAGATGATCACCTGGAAGGATCCTAGTGAGGCCGAAATCAGGAAAGCTGCAACCATAGTAATCAAGCACCTGGTTCGTCACAGCCATAACTGCTTCAGGATTTCCGCTATCCCTGGATCCCTGGAGGCCCTCACTGCTCTTTTACCCGAAAGACAGGAGGAAGTGCTAGAAGTCCTCAACAGGCTAGCCGTGGATTACAGGACATGCGTGCGAATCGGTCACACCAGCGGACTTATCTCCATCCTGGTTGAATTTATCCAAGACGAAGTACGAACGTCGAAAGAAGTATTCCGTCAATCACTCGAGCTTTTGAAGACATTGGCTGACGTGCGAGGAGATTCTGGACGGTCACTGCGAAAGAAGATAGTGTCGGTAGTGTCAGCAGTAAGAAGTCTTCAAAGGATATGCAATCTCGAAGATTTGGAGCTACAAGACCTGGCAGTCGACGTGATCAAGCTGCTAGCAACCGAGGACGAGCTTAGAGATTGCATTGGCGCGACTGGAGGAGTTATCCAAAGCTTGATGGCCATATTTGCGAGAGAAACCGCACCGAACAGCGACCACTTGACCATTGCCATGAAAGCCGGGGAAGCCATAATTGTGCTCGTTCTCCAGTGTCCAAACAATTGCTCGAGGTTCCTCATGCACAAAAGCTACAGAAAAGGTGGCGTTAGCAAGACCCTCAAGAACTTGATCAACATGCTCACCAAGCCAGTTGGAGTCCATGCAGCCACAATTTTGCGAAGCTTGTGCGGTGACCTTAACGACGAAGAAAAGTTGGAGCTTGGAGCAGCCATATCTCGCATCATCCAGATGGTGCTGGAATCCACGGACAAGGAACAGCAGGCAGCCATCGGTTTGGCAGCAGCCATAATCCCCTGGCTCGACACACGTAACTTTGAACAAGGCGTGCTATCGCAACAATCACGGCTTTGCGAAAAAATCACAGAGCTTCTATCCCAGACAGCACCTTCTAGGAGCTTGAATTGTATCCGGCGATATAGCGTAGAGCTTCTGAACAGCTTGATGGCAAAGGAGAACACGGTGAAATGGAGGCGTTCCTGGAAGCAATGTCAACGACTGCCTCAGACGAAGAAAACTTCTTAACGTTTTCGGATTTTGTGGGACTTACCAAGCATTCCAGCAGCCTCGAGGAGCTCGTCAACAGCGCCCTATTGAACTTACACAGGCTGTAGCTTCACCTTTTCCAAAAGAAAGAGCCTCGAATGTGTCATGCTGTCAAGAATAAAATATAAATTCAGTTTCAGCAACTTGCTCACGTAAACTCTAAAAAAGAAAGAAAAAAATCAATCAACATCCAAAGAAGAAGAAGCTTACTTCATAGGAGATTTGAACTCGCAGCAACTTCGCTCACGCAATTGTAATTCACTAACAGAACTCTAAATAGGAAAGAAAACATTAATCAACATGAAAAATAAAGCTTCCTTCACTTCATAGAAGATCTCCTTTCTGAAATTGTGGTCACCACTCCACGCTGTTTTGAAACTTTCCAAGCATAGAGTTCGTACTTTTCCGCTGTCACGAAAGTTACATTATTAGAATCAGAACCACGAAGAAGAAGTTTCAGGAGCAGCAAAACCTTTCAAAGGATATCATCCACCGCTCGAATTTGTGACCGACATCAAGAAGAAAGACTTCTGGAACATTTCCATCTTGCTGTTGACTGAGGGAACCCGAGTTCTTGGCGGAAGTAGCGAGCTGGACTGGCAGGAGGCAAATTACATGAATACTCTCAACATCCGCTCGCTCGTGTTCGACAGAAAGCAGGCGGCTTTCGACCATAATCAGCACCCTGCACAGAATTCTAACAGTGTTACAGTTCAATTAAGAAAGATTTATACCAGGGAGTTGACGCCATGGTCTGTGGGAGTCATCCCGTTCGTAAATTTTCTTCCGACCAGGATCATCAGCCTCATTTCGTACATCCTTCAACTACTAGTCAGTGTCCCGAGGCACAAAAGGAACTCCTCGACAACTTGATGGCAAGGGACATGAAATTCTTAGCTCGCAAAGAACTTGTTTCATTTCCACCATTTGCTTTTCTAGACACGCAAAAAAGTGTTTAAGCTCGCCATCACCTAGCACAAAAATCACGCTCGAATATCACATGAAATGCCAAGGCTCTGTACCTCAATCTTCGATCAGTACGTCGTCCTCAAACACGTGGGTAGTGTGATCCACAACCTGCAAATAAAAAGAACATAAAAAAGGTCATACAAGCTCGATCAAATGATCTTACGTTGGTGTCACTGAGCTCCAAGTTGTAGAAGACCATCGAATCTCGATCACCAAAGAGAGGACCAGCGTGCCAAGTTCCTTCGTTTAGCTTGATGAAGCGAGGACCATCTATCTTGAAAACCTGGACGCTTGCATGAGAGGGAGGTAAATAGTAGTGGCCACCAGCGTTGGATCGAACAGCGCCCTCGTGTTGCGATGAAGGATCCACAATGCTGGGAAGAGAGACCGCCATGTACCAAGGATGAGCTCCCACTGATCCCAGACACTGCGTGACCCTGGCGTGATGCGTTATCCTTTTGAATCGCAGCCCCGTTTTCCTGAGCTCCATGAGATAGAATCTGCGCAAAGGAACCATCACTCACTCAATCACTACTGAGCCGCTGGAAATTTCGGCCACATTTTGCCTGTACTACCTGGGAATCCCATTCGCGAGATTGAGCTGCGCGTCTCCCGATCCATACTCGCATCCGTCGCCAATCTTTCCCAGGAGCTGGCCAAAAGGCCGGAAATTCTCCTCCGTGATCGGCACTGCTCGCATCGAAGAACCCTAGCCCTGGCAATATCGCCCAGCGCAGGAATCGAACCCAGCATAGTCAACAAGGACAAACCATTCAACGGTCCATGGGTCAACGATGGTCAATTCTGGTCAACAGTGTCCAAACGACATCTATCCGCTACGGCAGTGAAACTTAAAGCGTAGAAAGGATATAAGCTATCGTAGCAGCGAATTTATGGCCAGAGAAACTTAAGGGACAGCAACGTTCTTAGAGTTTTTCTTATTTTCTTCGCTTTGTTCTTGGTTGTGGGCTATTTAATCTTTGAACTGGCAATGCAGATGCCACGGTACGAGTTTAAGATGCCGTCACGAGGCATTTACTATCACTGTGAAGTGCGTGAAGGAACTTACGGCAATATCTCAACATCCTCGTAAGCTCTCCTATAGCGACAGTCTCTTTAGAACTGTGGCACCCTCTTTCGCGAATCACATTTGGGGATGGCAGTGGCAGCAGTGTTCAGTGGCAGTCTGCCCTGTCCAAGCTTTGCTTTCGTTACGCCACTTCGTAGTACTACTCCTCAAGCCAGCGCAAGGTTCTTAAGTATAAGATAGAAACATCACTGCGTTAGAAGGAATACTCCAGTTTTTTCTTTTCCACCACCTAAGCCTAGTAAGTGGCAAACTATAAAACCTGGTTGAAAGGGAGAGTTCTGTGCAGTACACACTAAAAGATGGCCATGCCGCGTGTTTGAAGCCGACTTTTCTCTAGGCCTGGAAGAAGAAGCTTTAAGTTTATGGAGAATTTATAGAGGGGGAGCAAGAGTACGAGATACAACAGGTTTCTATATACTATTATTCCCTTCCACGGCTGTGCGATAGTTTGTTGTGCAACAGTAGAAAGGGCGCTACCGAGATGAAGAAAACAGTCTTGTGTGTGTCAGATCATTGTTGTCAAACAACATTGATCGATCTGGAATGGCAGCACTAGTGCCAGATCGCTCCAGTTTCCCGTCTGACCGTTTGTCGTGTGAAAGTTTTAGCTCTTTGAAGTTGCTCTCTCCACTCATCTTCACGGACAGCAGCAATTAGCTCCTTTCTTCGTCTTCTTCATTGATTCTTCTTCACTTTCTTCTCTACCTTTTCTTTCTTCCTCCTGTGTAGTTCGTGCTGCTTCTGTGGAGAGCACCAGCCCAAGCTATGCCACAAAGTCCATCCTACTGTAGCGATAGTCATCAACAGTATAGTGGTCATGTTCTTGAGAGATCCTACCGCGATTTAACGAGCGAGAAAGGGAGTGATGTTTGCATGGCGGGACAAGCAGGGCACAGGTTTTTTAGATCTCTATACGAGTCTTTAGCTTCCTTTCGTTGAGGGGTCAAAAGATTCAAGCTTTGTTCTTTTCTCATGAATATTTTTTCTTGGTCCTGGTCCCTTGTGTGTCTGAAGCATCTATCTCATAGCTAGGAACATTTTCAAGAGACCAGCAGAGCGGAAAACATTGATTTAAAACAAACATCTCGTATATAACACCCAGCGTATTCTTCTCGTCCCAGTCGAACTTCATCCTGTGTTCTTCCCAAAGCTTCCACAGGCATTTTCTAGTTTCTCTTCTTCTTTTTCTTGTTGGTGGTGCCATGCAGATGGGTCGATCTCCTTGCTGCGAGAAAATCGGTCTCAACAGAGGTCCATGGACACGTGAAGAAGACACGCTCCTCACGCAGTATGTCAACGAGCACGGCGAAGGGTCTTGGAGAACGCTTCCAAAGGCCGCAGGTTTGATCCGCCCAAATCTCATTCCACTCCTTGTCTCTACATTCTCTGAGATTTTCCTCGTGGTTGCTAGATTCCCTCTAGACAAGCCATGTTTGCGTGTAGCTA